CGATGCCTGCAGTTCCAAAGCTAAGCAGTCGGATTGCAAACAAGATCTGCAAGCACAACAGGAACCACTAGCGTTGCCCTCCCTCCCGTTAGCATGGAACCAAAGGGGGGGAAGGTCCCTTTTCTCTCAAAGACACCTTCTGTCAGGATCCATGTTAGTGGGAGGTAGTGTACAAGCTTTTCGCGGCCCCTGGCCTATGTGTGGAAGCATCGCCCCTCACACTGTCGTCTGCCAGCAGGATCCGGCAGTTCACATTGTAGATTGAGCTGTCAAATGCAAGTAAGCTGACCGGAAAAGCGAACAACGCCAGGCTCTTCCTATTCACATGGGACAATGGCAACTCCCCCGGCGGATGTCACCTTGTGAAGATAAAACAACTTGCCTCCAGCTCACCATGGTCTACTGGACAACTTGGGAGAGGGTCAAAAATAGGTACCAGGTACCCAAAACCGAACCCATGGTGACTGGAAACAAGGACTAAAACCCGCGGTTTTTTGGTGGCTTAGTTTTGACCCATACCCATTTGACCTCACCCTAAAACGACCCATCGTCGTTTTACCGCCTGGGCTGCCCGGCGGAAATCGCACTTCGCCTCGAGCGGATCGAAACCGCAGCCCGGGCCGTCCCACACCTTGAAGTCGAGCCTCGGGGTGAAAGAGGGCGTCTTCATGGCACAAGTGCGGGACGGGGGCTGCTGGCAAAAGGGGCGTTGCTTCAAATGACTTTCGACCCAAAAAAAAGAAAGAGAAGGAAGTCACTTGGTCCAAGAGTGCTGAAACTACAATGGAATTGTAGGGACGCCGGGCGCGTGTTCTGGGAATTCGGAATCCCTATGTCAATGACGACAAACAAAGCCTCTCCAGAGCCCAAACCATCAACATCTTCATATTGGCCAGGGCGGGCGACGCCAAGCAGGCTAGCACCACAAAGGAAGGCCCACACCCCCGAAGAAGCATAGCGTGGCAATTTCGACCAAAACGCGACTAGCTGCTACTCGGCACAAGCCCAAAGCTCTGAGTCCTCTTGGTCTGCTTGTGGGCGCTCCTCTTCGCCGCATAACAACATATATTGCTCGCTTCTGCCTCTGCAAACGCCCAAAACCCCAAAACCACAGCTTGATCACAGCCGCGCTCCAGACTTCTTCGGTAGAATTTGCGGCTTAGGTCGCAGTCACTGCCCGCAAGCGTCCCCTCAGGAACACTGACACTTGTCGCGGTCAAGCTGGATTCAATCAGTCCGCAGGGAAGCCACTCGCGGAAAAACAACTTGTGAGTCATTTCATTTGCGAAGTGTGGGCCAACACTTCGCTACGCAGTATCTAAAGTTGCACAGCGCTACACAACTTCATTTTTTCAAATGCCAGCGCAGGGCGCACAAACAGCGCTGTGCTCTCAGGCACCCCCTAATACAAGTGAAGCTGGGATCAGCAGAAAAATATGTTGGTTTAGCAGTGAGGGGTGGCTCAAGAAGTCAGTCACAGGGCTACATTGGCCATTGGCACATGAAGAAAGAGAACACCGGACCAATCTTCTACCCTCAATTTGAACATCAGGGCAACCCCATTTGTAAACACAAATGGGGCAGTGATAGCTGCAGGGTCCGGCTTCTTCAGGGGTTATTCCAAGGAAATCACCAAGAACCACACACACACACACAAACACCACTCAAAGGAGACGTCTGCCTACGATCGACGCCCCGGACGACCAACAACAGTTTGTTGCCACGAGCACTTCCACGGAGCAGGTACCAGCTCCGGAGTCGGCCATCCTCCGAACCCAACGTGCCTCTTGATGGCAAGGACTGAAACCCAGGGCTGGCTCTGGTGGGGAGATCAGCCATCCCTTGGTCTTGGGGTCATCAAAAAGAAACGCTTTTGGGAAATCAACTACCTTTCCTCACCTGTGAAAGGGTGAACATAGGAAGATCACTTTTGTTTTGGGGTACCCAAGGTCAGGTGCCGTGTTAGTGGGAGGGAGGGTATCACTTGGTTTAAGTGTACCTTGGGGTCATCCAATGAATCAACCAGGCCTGAATGACCCCGACTCAAAATCATGGAGATTCCTCGAAGGAATCGAATCCTCTGCCCCAAGGACCTGAAAATACAAGCTTTCCCTTGAGGAACCTTGACTGGACCACATTTGGAAAGCCTAAAATATGAAAAGGTCGGCCTCAAAGAAGTGAGAATCCCACTTGCCCGATACAGATTCTTGAATCAGCGGCAAATTTTAGACATGCGTGGAAACAGTGTATCGAAAAAGGCGTCAAATCGAGTTGGATCCCTTTGGCAATGGTTTCAGGGAATTGCTCCTTTGAGAGGGTATGCTGGAGGCTCCAAGATTTCTTTGTAACTTATACCAGTTTGGTAGAAATCATCACAAAAGAACAGGTGGCGATTTCCGACAAACACCCGGGTCTCTGAAATGACCTGGTTTGGTTTTGCCAGCTGCAAACCTTTGGCTGTTGCATCCCGTGCATGCGACACGTGCTTTCAGAAGCGGACCTTGACGCGAGTGGTCTTGCAGCGTGACCCGCCCATGCAATGCCAGGTTTTCCATGATCCACTTTTGAGAAACATGTCCGTGGTCCCGCCACCCGCGTCCTGTAGAGCACCGGGATACTTCACCCATCCTCCGCTCGTGAGCTGCGACTCGACGCTTGAATACAAACGCATCTGGAGCAAACAAGTCGCATTTACGGGGGATTCATCCTTCCAGAGTTTCATAGGTGGTGCAGGATTTCGTCCATCCAGAGTATGAATTGAAGGATATTAGAGGTCCGCTGCCCTGTCAACCAGGGTTGGTTTATGCTGGGAAGCCCCAGCACAGGCGATCCGAGTTTAAAAAAAAACAAACAGCTGAAATGCGGCGTGGGTCAGGTTCCTGCGATTCAGCCAATCATGTTTGAACTCTGGGCCTGCGCTTGCTTGCTCACTGTCAGCCCTCCTTTTTGTGCTAGAATGTGTCAAAGCAGCAGGTTCATCGGGTGGAACAACAAATGCACATAGGGCGCAAGGATTGCTCTTAAACTTCGGGAACGTTGTCTTCAGAGGCCCCCCAACGAGGGTACACCACATGTGAGACATGCCATATGCCATAAGCCCAGAAGCAGAACCGTTGAACCGCTTGCTGCTAGGCGACTGCGGACCGCAGCTCTGATGACTCTCCATTGGATTGCTCACCACAGCCCACGCCTCTCTTGGGCAGGACTTGACTAAAAGCCTGCGGAAAAGGTCGAAGGCATGGCTGGCGGCGTGGGTGCACGTGTTGGCATCCTCTTGCTTGGATTTGTGAAATAGTTTCTTGGGAGACCCCGGCAAAATTGTGGTTTGATAGGTTCAAGCAGCCACGTCAAGCTGCGTCTGCATCTGCGGCAAAAAGATCTCCAACATTATTGGTTCTATGCTCAGCTTGACCAACCCTCGCTGTAAGGAGAGCGCCCATGGCATGGATGTGGTCCGGAACGGTGGTGATCTTGCCGATGAAGAGGTGGGCATCCTGGCACGAGGTGGGCATCCTGGCTACGTGCCCTTGATGAGGTCCTCACTTTCGTGTGGGAAACGGCTGGATTCATACACCTGTCACTAGATTGTTGCCTTGCTGGAGGCAACAAAACAACTACTGCGCATGGTAGGGGTTATGATCCCTGGCAACTTGGCTGGCCTGGAAAGAGCTCAAGCAAGGTGAACACAATAGACCCACAGACTGAACGGGCGACTTGGATCGATGCTGCGCCAAAGGCGCCTACACAGAGGGGATCCGTTGGTGAACTGCCAGTACCTAGCCAACACTCCCCTAAGCACTGAGAATGGAGTCTGCGCACATGTAAAAGGTCATGCAGACAAGGTTGGTGCATCCGTCGTCTGACTATGGTTGATTTATCGTAAAGAGGTTGGAGATCCACCCTGCAGAAAGAGCTGGCCCAGCAAGAACAAGCCAGCTACCACACCCCGGTTCACCTTCGCGCCTTTTTCCTTCTCTCGCTCCGGTCTCGCTTGCTTTGACTTGCTCGCTTGCTTCTGGGGCTTGGTTCGCTTGGCTCGTTTCACCTCGGATTTCGCCGCAACCTTCGCTTCCTCGGGCTCTTCCATGGCCTCCTCCTTCTCCTTCTCTTCCTCCTTCTCCGGCCTCTCCTTCTGCGGCCTCTCCTCCTCCTCCTTCTCTTCCTCCTCCTCCTTCTCCTCTGTGCACTTCTGCTTTTCGGTCTCCTTTCTCTGCGATTGCGCTGCCACCTGTCGCACCGGATTCAAAGCACTCATGCCCAACAACAAAAAAAAAACACCTCCTGCCTTTTGGGACGGTGCTTCATGGCCCGCTTGTTCATTCCCCTTTATCATCACCCGCACCAAAGGGAAACTCCCTTCAAGTTGGCCCAAGAGGGGATGCTTAACATATCGAAGAAAACGGGCAAGCGTACGAACAGTATGCAATAAGATGGTGGGACTGGTTTTCCTGCAAATTGTCTCACTTCCTGAGTGGACTTGTCCAGGAACTCAGGACGGTAGTTTCGGCAAAGGCTCGGTTTGACGCCTCCCCCCCCCCCCCCTCGCAGCCCGCCTCGTCTTCTTCGCCGTCCAAGCGTCCCAAGACGCGGAGCGCCTCCGCCAGGAACCGCCGCTTCCGCAGCACCTGGTCCTCCAACTGCTGCAGCAGCAACACCTCCGCGGAACCCAAGCCCGGAGGTTTAAAATCCCAGTGAAGGCCTGTTGTATTTCCCCAGTATGGAGAAAGTGCAGCCCCCCCCCCCCAACAACAAAAAAAATGAAGGTGAAGGGCACCCCGCGATTCTTGGCGAGTGATTCGAACGCCTCTTGCGGGAGCACGCCCCGCATTAGGATGACTAGCCCGCTCCCAGAACAGCGCACCCGTGAAACGAAAATAATGACGTGAGGTTTGAGTTGGAACCATTGAAGTAGGTACCCAAAGGACCTGGATCCGCTGGGATGCTAGGATGGGTTCTACTTAGATGTCAACATAGACGACCTCATTTAATTTTGGCTCCGCTTAGCTCCGCTCCTTGGCTTCCCGTTGCCGCAGCAGTTGCAGCAGCCCCGCGATGTTGCGCAGGACATGGCCTCGGCCAAACGGGAAACCCCAACCCCCCCGAACCCCAACCCCCCCGAACCCCAGCCCCCCCCCCCAACCCCCCCGAACCCAACCCCGCCCCCCCCCGCCTCCGTCCGAGAAAGCGCGGGGGATGAGCGGCCCTCACGCAAAGGACAAGGGTGCCTTTGTGAGGGTACGCCCTCCAACTTACAACCCACCCAGCCATGTTTGACACCTGGCCATGGGTCAAAATCCCGTACCCCCAGTGAACCTCCCAATCCCCACTAAAATAGGTTCTAAACTGGGTGGTGAATTCACCTACCAACCAAAATGGGATCCCAAAACGGTTTTGACACCCACAGCCACCTTAAACAAACCCAGAGATCCGGTCCAAGCAGCTCAAGCGCCTCAAAAGCACCGGACACTCTGCGGAGCTCTGCGCCAAAGCGTCCAGAAACTCCAGGCTCGCCGTCTGCAGCTGCGCCTGGAGCCTCCAAAAGGAGTCTGAAAGAGACACCCTTCATCTGGCGATCGGTAGGCTAGGTCCTCCAGTAGAGGGGTTAGAATAAGTTGGCACCAACTGTTTTCGTTAATCTATTTTAGTAGGGGAACCCTCCCCCAAAAAAGAGTAAAAGGGCACTACTGGGGAGTTGCAGGGAATGCGGGTTATGGAATGACCCCGAGAAAAATCATCCGACTGGTGGTTTCCTTTGTGAGGACCCCTGGGAACTCATCCCCACATTCCCCACTGAGCACCAGCAAGTTCAGCTTCCAGCTACTTGGTGGTTTGGAGCCCGGTTGTTTGGCTCCGGGGTGGTCTCTCATCTACCCTCCCCAAGCACTAATCCAAACCACCAAGGGTAACCTGAACCCTGCCCATTTCTCCAAAAAGACATGAACAGGCCCATACAGTCTTTCCAATGAACAGAAGTTTACTGCCGGGTCATTTCGCTACCACGCATTTCCCAAGCCGGCCCAAGAGTTTGGCAGAAATCCATCTGATACTGAACACGTCCCAAGTACGAAACTGTGACGACGCAAAGGCCGGCTGCTTTCTGACCCCCAACGCGCGCCTTTGGTGCTTTGTCAAAACAAATTTATGACGTATCCTGAAGGAGCCCCTTGTTCAAAGGCTGCGTTGCCTCCGGTTTCCGTTCAAGCATGGCCATCCGATGCGCCTCAACAACTCCTCGGGCAAATCCCCCTCGGGGTTGCAGAGCCACTCGTCAGCGTCGAGCAACGGCTCCGGCGGCCCCAGATTCAGCACCTGAGTGGTGACTTGCCGCGGGTCCCGAAACCCAGGGGAGCGAAAGGCAGCCAAAAAGAGCAGGGTTTGATGCAACAAGCGTCACGTTCAAAAGTAGCAGTTTATATACTGGTGGTTTGCTCTAAAACTGTTGCTTATTGAGGTCCAACATGGGAAAATGGGTCTGAAGTTGGGCTGTAGTTGCATAAACCGCCTCATTGGGTGGCCCAAGTTCAGACTAAGCTGATCTCAAGCCCTCGAACCTTCGGTCTGTCTCAGTAGTCCTGGTGTCTCTGAATATTGTGCCCACCCTGCTTTCTTGCTCAAACATCATCGAGTGTTGCTGACGCAAATGCAAATGAAGACAATAAGCCACGCTCAAGCATTCCTGGCAATTGACCAAATCTCATGGGGAACTATGTGACAGCGTGTGTATGTGTAACGCATTGCTAGGCAGTCGTCTGATTGTGTAGGCTTCCGTAGGGGGAGGGGGGGAGGACACAACACACACACACACAAATACGCTTACAGCCACTGCCACCAGCGCACATATATGCTCTTATCCTCTCAGCCTGTCCTGTCTACCACCCCCTATTTGGTTTTGATGGTGATCCCAAACTTGGCCAGCACAAATGATGGTGAATATTGACTGCTGAGAACATCATTTGCATATCTTTCCTGCCGGTTTCTTGTTTCCATCAAAGCAATGGGTGTAAGTAAGCAACTGCACATGGAGAGCAGTCTACTTTGGCATCACCGCAAGGGTTGTTTGCCACAACCATGCTGAGTTTTTGTGTGCGTGTGCGCGTGTTGTCTTTTTTTCTTTGTTGGGGGCGGGGTGGGGGGGGGCGGAGCCGTGTGATAACTGCGCTTCAACAATCAGACCCTCCCCCTGAAACAAACTCTCTTTATATCCAGGAAGCCTGGCCTGGGGCAACTGTCTAAGATAAGTGTCGAATCTTTCGGGCGGTTTCTCGCGGCGAGCCCGGTGATGCGGTGCACGGCCACTGCTCCTCCCCCCATCCCCGGCACTCGGGTCCCGCCTCCCCGAAGACCGACACCTCCCCCGTCGGCACCCGCGGGGGCGCCACCAGCACCGAGCCGTCGAAAAGGCGCCACTGGGGCGGCGGCGCCGGGAAGCCGCTGAAGGACGCGCCCGCCATGCCGCAAAAAAACAAAAGCGGGCTTGCTCAGACTATTATTACTATTTTATTTGTTTTGCTTTTGCGAGGGTACCCCGTTTGTTTGTTGTTTTTTTCTCTCTGTGGGTAACCACATTTTTTGGGGGGGCGTCCCTTTCAAATAGCACAAACGCAGAGACTAAAGCAACCTGGGTATGTGCAGAATAGGGATTTGGTCCCCAAACAATGGCTCTCCTGTTGACTTCCCTTCAAACCAACCTGTAAAAGGCTTTCAAGTGTCCTTTCCTTGCTGTCTCCCGGTAGGGCGTCAAGAGGGGTGTTGGGAAATGTGGATCCCTTAAGCAGGAAGAGGGGCGTCCTCTGATACCATCAACAGCGTAGAGACCAACACCAAACTGCTGCTTCTTGCTGTGTCTTTGCTTTGATACCAAACTCGTCGGTGTGGGATCTGCACTTATGTTCATGGTGAGGTGTATGTCTTTGCGCTGGATCTGTGGCAAGCACGACGAAAAACAACCATAGTTGCCAAGGTTGCTAAAGAAGCTACAGGCGCATACGCTACTCTCTCCGGCTGTAGGTTTTGCTGATTCTTCTCCGGACTTAGGTTTGCCCTCAAGCGCGTCGATGTGTTGGTAGTTGCTTCTTCGTGTGCCCTTCCAATGTCTTCCTGTGTTTGGGTATGTGACTTTGGAGGGTGCCCTTCTTGGGGTGGTTTCAAAGGAAGCCCAAGGAAAGCCCCCCATTTTGCCCCCTATTTTGACACAACCTCGTTCCAGTCATGCAGGCGAACTCCAAACTGGATCACTCACCTAATAGAGAATACACTAACAACATAGAGAATCCGACATCAAAAACAAACAAATGGCAGAACGGAAAGAAGGCATAGACGTGCGCGAGAAGGGCATGCGACTATTCCGATAAACTTGGTCATTCTGAGAGGAAACGAGCTGAACACCGGATGCCATGCTAGAGGATGCCTGGACAATTCATATCACACCTGCTTGCCTATCCTCAGCCGGCTGCGGCAAGCTGATTCCCACGTCCAGCCTCCGTGGCGTTTGTCTCAGCCTTGCACCAAGCGATTCGCCTTTGGCCCAGAACAAAAATGCTTGAAGTAAGCAGCTTCCCTCAGACAGGGTGATGTGGATTGGTGGCAGGGGGTGGTTTGCCATTTCAGAACCAAAGGCACAGCTTCGAGCACATACCGTAGCAGCCCCAATCCCAAAGCGAAACTCTGAGGTCAACGCTGTCACCGTAAGCTGACTGCTGTCGCTCAAGGCAGGCAACTCTGCGCCTGAGGAATCCGCCTGCCCACTTGTCCGCTCTCGGTCTGGTCAGTGGGTTTGGGCTCCATTAAATTGATTGACAGCGAGTGTTCCATATCGGCCACCGAAACGCTTTGAACACATTGCACCAAACAGCTGCCTCTCTCTCTCTCCCTCTAGTCAAACAATACCTCCCCCACCGCGCGTTTGTTTTCTTCTTTTTTTGTTTTTCTCCAATTCGTCTTCAAACTACTTGAGCCTCCGGCGAACATAATGCCCGCTGGCCGTGGGCAAGGTTGCCTGCGCGCTGAGTCCAACGTCATAGACTTGGCGCCGCCAAGTAGAATTCCAAGGGTCACTCTCACAGGTCACCAGGCCCCTTTCAAATGGCCGTGGGTCAAAAATATGTACCCAAAATGAAACCCTGGTAAATGGAAACCTGGACTATAACTTGTGGTCCCCTGGTGGTTTAATTTTGACCTAAACCCAAATCGATGGGTGGCATGAGGTCTCTTTTGACATGGCCGTGAGGAGCGCAAGGCGCACAAGTGACGGAAGCCGCCGTCAGAGACCCCGGCGCAGCTGCCGGCCACCACACTGGCCCCCGCAGTCATGGCCCACCTGTGACGGAGACTGTGGCGTGCACAACTCGTGCTGTTTACCAACAAAGCCGGAGTACCCCCTACTCAAAATACCCGCTTTTTTTTCAGGGTATTTTTGGGAAAACCGGGTTTTCCGTGGTGAAAACCTCCTTTTTTGGGTGTGGGTCAAAATTGAATCACCAGGAGACCACAGGTTTTAGTCCTTGGCTCCATTTACCAGGGTAACATTTTGGGTACATATTTTTGACCGACTGCCAGCCGGCGCGGTTTGTGGTTTGTGAAATTTGGATCTGAATCGAAAGGAATCCACACCTTTTTGTTCAGCCAGCCTCTCAGCCCCACCTGCTTCGCGTTCGAAACTGCAAGCGAAGCCGTCTCGGCCACAGCGGCCCCCCAGAAAAGCAGACAGTTCGCGCCACGAATAGAAGCAGAAGCAGTTCGCAAGAAGCAGGCTTCTTTCAAACTCATCCCTTCCCTTCTCTGGTTGGTATTTGCATTTCGCGTGCACCGATTCAAGCCACAGAAATGACTCATCCCTTCCCAGCCACTCCGAGTGCCTCAAAGTTCCTTGCTGCATGGACTCCAAATCCTCCCGTCCTTGCCACGAGTGGCAAAGGGATGCCAAGGAACACCCATCCCAGGCCCTCCCCCTTTCTAGTTGGCCTAGTCCGAGCCTGCCACTATGAAATGTAACAAGCACGCAGTTCACTGACCACCCTCAAACAATCCTGCATTTCGGGGGTTGCAGTCTGGTTTCTCCCGTGCTGACGGGGGTCCGGAAACATGACCACCTGGTCAGCCACCATCCGCTATGGCAAAATGAAGTCCGATCATTACCACAAGCAACGGGGGTCCAGAAACATGACCACCCGGTCAGCCACCATCCGCTGTTACAAAATGAGGCCCGGTACCACAAGCAACCGACCCAACTCGATTGCTGGGTTCAAAACTTGATTGCTCACAAAAAAAGGCAGCTTGAAGGCTTTGGGTTTGTTGTCCCCGAAGCTGCCTAAAGCCCTGGGCGAGTATCCCTATCTACTCTGCCGTTTTAGAATGTTTCGTGGTCCTTGTTCCCTGGAATACTGGTATTTTATATACATATCTTACCCTATCTCTCTATTTCTCTCTCTACCTCTGTCTCTCTCTCTCTCAACTCTCTCTCTCTCTCCCTCTCTCCCCCTCTTTCTCCGAAACCTGAATATGCACGGCTTTGGCCACAGTCCCCAACAAGCCCAAAGCAGCATCGTGACCACTGATGCATTTGCCTATGCCCAGCAATTGGATCCTGCAAGAATCACGTACCCTTGCCCAACCGTAACACAACCAGGAGGGAAACCAAGCGCCGAACCCAAAAGACAGTGAACATGTCAAACATTGAAGGCGGGCATTCTGGATTTGAATGTTGTCAAGCCCTGCCTTTCTTGCCTAATTCCCCCCTGCAACTCTGAACCATTGGCTGGCCAAAGGCGAAACAATGCAAAAACTGCCTCAGTTGCCCCTTAGTAGAGACCCACAAATAAAAGGCGATCACTTTTTGGGGCCATGGCGAAAAGTGGGAACCCACCTAAAAGTAAAAGGCTGATTCGCTTTGGACCTTGGTAAGTTGCACGCGGCGAAAACGCCCAGGCACGATGGTCAAAAATGGCAAGGGAGGACGATGCATCAGGAGCACCAACAACCAATACAACGTTAAAACCCGGCTCCAACTCCAATCAAACATGCATGTTGCATGTTACACGTGAATGCCCATACATGTATATACGCAAAAACCATGTATAAGTACATATATTGGGAGTTGATCAATATTCCTGTTTCCGGAAAACGCCATCTTCGCGAGAAAAAAGTTTCTTTCGCGAATCTTTCGCGACTCCATCGCCAAGCCCTTTTGTTTGCAGCGTGCACTCTGGAGCCATTGTGGCTGCCGCAGTTATGCTTGCAAACACGGTAGCCGCAGTTCACTTGCGTGCAGTACGTGGTGTGAATGAAGTGCAAGCAGTCACCGTCATTCGCCCTTGCCACTTGCGCTTGCCGGCGATGTGCGGAACCTTGCAACAAGCTCCTTGGCCTTTCGCCGGTCTTTCGCGCATCTTTCGCGAAACTTGCTCCAAAATAACCCTGCCAACGTTATTGGTTTGCACCATTCTCAACACAGGCAGGGAATCAATAATGCAAGTGTAGGTGCTGCGTATCTCCCTATCTACAAGGGAGCGGGGCCTGCAAATGTGTAAGTGCACAGGCATGCCTCCAAGAATCCAACGCGGAATCTTTCGCGAAACAATAAGTTTCTTTCGCGAACTCCATCACCGATCTTTCGCGGAGGAATTTAAGCCAAGACGAATGGTCACCGAACACAAAACACCGTGCAAGGACCTTTTGATCAACCCCCATGTATGTCATATGTGCATATATATATATATATAAATGGCTATGATTTTTTTTAGGGGTCTGTAACGCGCGACGCGCCACGAATCTTGTTACAGAGGTCTGTAACGGAGGTCCTTGTTACGCAAACATTTCCTGACAAGAAGTATCAGTAGCACGATGTAGCGCAGCACAACGAGGTATGTAATGGCTATGTAACGAGGTCTGTAACGAGGCAAAGCGAAGCGCAGTACGCAAAGCGCGCCTCCGCAGCACCAGCTTGCTTGCAGCTACTCAACGCAAGCCAAGCTGCGGCAAAAAGCTGGGGCTGGGTCTGTAACGAGGTATGTAACGGCTATGTAACGAGGTCTGTAACGAGGCAAAGCGAAGCGCAGTACGCAAAGCGCGCCTCCGCAGCACCAGCTTGCTTGCAGCTACTCAACGCAAGCCAAGCTGCGGCAAAAAGCTGGGGCTGGGTCTGTAACGAGGTATGTAACGGCTATGTAACGAGGTCTGTAACGAGGCAAAGCAAAGCGCAGCACGCAAAGCACGCCTCCGCAGCTCTATTCAACGCAAGCCAAGCTGCGGCAAAAAGCGGGGTCGCTGGCCCGGGCTGGGGTTGGGTCTGTAACGAGGTATGTAACGGCTATGAAACTGAGGTCTGTAACAAGGCAAAGCAAAGCACTTGATTGCAGCTATTCAACGCAAGCCAAGCTGCGGCAAAAGGAGGGCAGTCACGTCACTGGCCCGGTTTGCTCATCTGAGGTGTGTAACGAGGGCGTGTAACGAGGGT